CAAGATACATCTAATAATAGTAAAAATACTAAAATTAGGCTAGTAGTTTTTGAAAAATCTTTAAAAACTTCTTTTTTATATATAAAATTTCTTTAAAAAAATTGTTTTTTTTAAAGAAATTTTATATATAAGAAAAAAGTTTTTAAAGATTTCTCAAGAATTACCAGACCAATTTTAATATTTTTACTACTATTAAATGTATCTTAATAAGCTTTACAACTTTGTTACAAGTTCAAGGGTGATTTATTTAGTAAAAAAAGTTTTAAATAGAAGTACTGCACATTCAGACTTATAATAAAATTTACATATAAAAAAAAATATTTGTTTAGATGACTCATGAATTGTCTATTAAAAAATTATTATTACTTATATCATAATAATTATTATTTGTATTATAAGCTTAATTAAAATTTATTACAAATTATTACTATATATAGTAAGCTATCTAAGTTTAACTCAAATTTTAAAAAAGATTTTTGATTAAATTTTTTTAAATTTTTAATTAAAGTTATAAATTTTTATATTTTAATTTTAATTTAAAGTTTCTTTATTATAAAATAAGTTTATCTTAAATTATATTATTTTTAGTGAAGTGGTAAAGTTGTCGCACCTTCAAGCGGTCGAGTACAAGTTCAATTCCCACTGGAAACAAAAATTGAATTTCAAAAAATGGATTCAGCAAGTATTGTTGTGGCTGGAAAAACTTGAGACCCTGTAACTATAGTCATACCAATTTATCGGAACTGGAAGATCTCGGGACCTTTGTATGACGTATGAGTTACATAAATGATCTTTGGATCGCAGAAAGCCACAGGGCTGATATAGCAGTACGGCACTTGCTTGGCAAGTCCTAAATAGAGAGGTAATACAGATCTTCGATGGTACTACATAAAGGATCATTATCAGAAAAACCAGTAAAACTAAATGAGACCGAAGTATTTGGCAAGGAACTCCACCAACCAGGCTGCCAAAGGAGTAACTGGAGGAAAAGGATCCAACTGTGGAGACCAGGAGCAGGTTATAGCCCTTCTGGGCTATTTAGATTGGTAGTTTGGGATAATCGGAATACCGTAGATGGTCTGTAATATATGTACTAGGGTTTGAAGTAAACTCTATAAGGGCAGAAGTACGTTGTGTAGTGGCAACTAGGCCATAGTACCTAATATAGAAACTGGGGCGCAAGTGGTGGGCCTTTGCCTGTACGTATCAATTGAAGACTAGATCAGCTGGATTGTGAGTACAGAAGGCTCTAGCAGGTTTACTTCTGAGGATAGAGGGCTCTTGAGGGCAAGAAGCCTGCCTTAAAGTCCTAAGTCAATATCCAAAATAAGGGTTTCCGAATTGGATTTTTGCTCAGTTATCAGATATAATCACATAGGTGCAGAGGGTTTAAATAGATAACCCCTAGTCAGATTATAGGTATGATATCTAGTATAAAACTTAATAATAAGCAAATTACTTAAATAGGTAACCAAAAGTTGCACATGTGACTAGTTGTATTCTTCAAATATGTATACGGGATATGAAAATCACATACTGTAAAATTATAACTATAATCGAATAAAAGTACATGACCAAGAGGTTACCTTAATATCAAAAAAATAAAATAAAATAAATAAATTATATTATTTTAAATTTTAAAAAATTATATCTAATTTGTATATATAAATTTTCTATAATATTTGTTAATAAAAATTTAAATTTAAATTACTTTTTATATAATAATCTAATCTTAGCTAAATTTTATAATTGAAATTAGCTACAATTTTTATTAAGAATTTAAAAAAATTTATACAATAAAATTTTTTTTAATTACTAAAAATTTTTTATAAGATAACTAATAAATACTATATAAAATTAGTTTAAACTAAAATTTTTAAATTAAAAAACTTATATAAAATTATAAAAAATAGTTAAAGTTTTTAAATTTTAAATATAGAATGCTTTAGATTAAAAATATTTAAAATATATATTTAATAAAGTAATTAGGGACGTAACAAAAATCAGATGATTTTTTAGGAGAAGAGAGGAGTAAAAAATTTAAAATTATATATAAAGATCTGATCAAGATATATAGTAAAAGAGGGAAGAAGAGTAAGTCTCTGATAAAAAAAAATAGATAATAAATAACATTGCTTTTATCATATCGCACAGATTAAAAAATCTAGATCTAAAACAAATACTTAACCAAAATCTATAAAATATTTAGATATATTGTATAGCAGAAGGTCTCTATCATAAACTGAAAAAATTTTAAATATATATTTATTTTTTAATCATGGTATACATACTGAGATTTAAAAAAAGCTAATTACAATTAATAAAATTTTTGTGATTTTTATACAGATATTTTACACAGGAGATATAATAAAATAGGGATCTTTTAATTAATACAGTATAGTAATTTTTAAAATTAATAAATAACTAGTATATTATATATAGTACTTTGTACTATTAGTAGTATAGATAAATTCTATTTATTAATTTTAACAATATATTTCTTAATTAAAAAAGATTTTTAAAGATCTACTTTATTAAAAAATTTTTTAAAATTATTAAAAAACTTTTGATTAATTAAAGTTTAAAGTTTAAAGTTTATGTAATATTAGAGTTTACTATTAAAATTTTTTTAAGTTTTTTAAAATTTTATATATTTTTGAAGTTAGAAAAAATTTTTACTTTTAAGACAAATATAAATTTTTACAAGTAAATTATATAATTTATAATAATTAAATTATAATCTTTTATTTAAACTATAAAATTATATTAGAAACTATAGGTTTAAAATTTATATTTAAAAAGTTTGTTATAGATAAATTAAAAAAATTTTGTTTTAAAAATTATTTTAAAATTGTATATTTTTGGTTTATAAATAATCTAAAATTTTTTAATACTACTAATCTGCATCTTTAGTATTGAATATTATAATTAGCTATATCTCAAAAATATACTAGCTAATACCTCTTAGGAGTACTAAGTAAAAATATTCAGAACCTTCAAAAATCTTATGTTAACTAAAATTTAGATCTTTATATCTAACCCCTATCTTACTCTAAAGTTGTACCCTAACCCTAAATTTTAGCCAAAAACTTATTAACACTATAAACACCATAGGTGCAATTTATATTATTTAAATTTTTTTTTATAATCTAAAAATAAATACTGCAAAAAAGTAATTTTTATTTTCAAATATATTTGTATAAAGTTTTATTTAATTATTTTAGTTTTTTAAAAAGTAAATCAGAGCTAAAAAAATACAAAAATACTGACAAATTTGTTTGCTTTCTACTACAATATAAGAGATAAAATTAAAAATTTATATATTCTATTTTTAAAGTTTAGTATTTTTTAAAAATTTGTTAATAGATTTTATATAATATTTTTTTTAAAAAAGTTATTTATTTTTTGTAAAATAGTTACTATATAAATATAAAATAATATCTATTTGTATATTAATTAATTGATCTGTATATTATTTTGAATATACCTATATATGATATTTTGAAATAAGAAATAATTTACAAATTAAATATATATTAGGATATTGCTATTTACACTATTATTTTTACTATTTATACTATGTTAATTGCTAAAATTTGATAATTTTTTTAATAAACTTGTTTATTTAGTTATAAGTTTTAGATAAGAAGTTATTAAAACATTCTTTAGCTAAAAATTTTAAACATTATAAACAAAAATTAACAAAAGTATAATATTTAGAATAGTATAAATAGCATGTACTTTGCTTAGAAATACGAGTCCTCGCTACGCTTCGGACAATAAAATATTATTACTATGATTTTTAGCTGCTTGAATATAAAGCTAGCTATAATTATATAATTATTTACTCTATCTACTTGTTTTAATTATTTTTTAACTGAAAATCCAACTTCTAAACTTTTTTTGGTTAGACTTATGATTGACCAGAAATATCTATATTCTAAAAAATTTTTTGTCAAATAACTACCCTGAATTTTTATGAATAGAAATCTAATTATCAATGTATTTTTTTTTAATAATTAAAAATAAATAATTTTTAATCATCAATATCGATAAGTATTTTTCCGAAAAAAATCAAAAATATACAAATGTTTTTGGTTTTTAAAAATATACAAGATTCAAAAAACCATTAATGCCAGCTTATTAACATCAATTCAAATAATACATATTTTTTTTATGTTCATAATAATTTTTGGTTCATTATAAACTATTGACTAAACCTAATAAAAGCCAGAAAATATCTTTAAAAAAGATGATACGACAGCTATCATTTAATAAAATTATTAAAATAAGCATGAAAAATGAATTAAATAAATTTCAAGTGCGATCTTTCTCTTGAAGATTTTGAATATAATTCAAATAAATAAAAAAAAATACAATATGTGAAATGATGGTTATATGCAAAAAAATAAAATATTTGATGAGTTTCTGATAAATTCCATCGAAAAATTATTAATTTCTCGTAAATACAATATATCAAATTCAGTAATAGTTATATTATGTTTATTTGTAAAAAAATAAAGCCGATGTCAAACTATTCAAATGTATGCATGACTATTTAATATGTTTGATCACTTATCGATAGACCATACCCCAAGAAAAGATTTTTTTTGATCGGTCACGATCAAACAAATCAAATAATTGATTATTCCCTAATCGATCATCATCTCTACTTCTGGCTGTAATGCTTGATAGTACGATTCATGTTCACTTCGTAGTGTAAGCAAATCGGTCTTAGGAAATATAAGCTGTGAAAATATTATGAGTAGTTAATTAAAAATAATTTTAAATTTATTATGTAATCGAATTAAAAATGTAATGATGAATTTTACTTCGATATAAGTTAGTGGATGTTTTTCCATTCGTATAGCAAAGTCTTTTACAATTTTATATGCGAAGTCTCTGAATTTAATTTGTGAGTCATTCAAATTCAAATTGAAAGTGTCGGTCAGTTCCTTAAAATGTTCAAGAACGCGGTGTAAAAGTTCCATAAATGATAACTAATGAAAAAAAGTTAATAAATGTAAATACACAAATCAATCAAACCCTGGTATATATATATCATTAGCATACCTTCATGAAAATTGAAGATTCACAGTGAGAAAGCATACGAAAAAACATCATATTGATGTAATGAAAATCTAAGTCAACTGTTTCGTACTCTTGATCCAATAGTGCACAATAAGTCGATAGGACTTCTTCATTAACATAGCACTATGTCATACGTTAGCATTAATATGGATGTTGATGTAATCTAATTCATTTTATTTATTGCAAAATTCTGTATCCTAATGATTCCAGTGATCTTAGTGATTGTTAAAGTGACACAATTGATCATATTATGTTTAGGGATGTTAAACGATCATTTGGGATCAAGTCTTGTCAGTTATTTTAAAAATCAACCCAAATGTCCATTTAACACACCTAATCATAATAGAAGCGCCACAATCACAATCGAATGTGTGTGCAATGACTGTAACTTTAACGACCACTAGGTTACAGAATTTTACAAACTGCGACAAATATATTATAAAACTCAATGCATTACCATTTCGTATCTATCAAATGCTTCCGTTCTATAACTTTGCTCACGTGAATCAATTTTGTCAATTGTATATTCATATTCATCCTTAATATATTTTACTTTTTTGTTAGGCCTATTTGCTTTAAAAAAATCAACAATATTAGAATGCTGGTAATTAAGATGATGAAAATAATAAAGGATCACAGATACGTACTTTTACGTTTTTGTTTAACATAAATATACTTTCTCGACTTGACTCGTTCAAGCATAGACAAAAGTCGATGTACTGTCTCAACTAAGCTTCGAAGAAAACTTTTATTTGATAAATATCACAAGGAGATTTAGAATTATACTTATTGAAGCATGTAATTAATATGTACTTAAAAACTAAAAATAACAATGAATGCTTTACAAAGAATTTGTATGACATGAAATTTTAATACCTCACAGATTGCTTGGAAGATCTTTTAACAACGTCAACAATCAGTTCCAAATTTTCTTTGTCGCACAAAATGCGATATTGCAATTGTTGAGCTTTGTTACGAGTTTCATGATCCTTATTAGAATGTTTTGAACCCATAATTTCAATGGTTCTTGACTAAAAATAATAATAAAATTAAAAGTTTAGTATGATATATTATGTATGTTATCATAATTACAAATCTATTATGAGAAATTTGCAAAGTACCAAAAAGTTACCATTTGCTTCAAACATTCTAGTCCAACTTGAAGTTCTGACCACAACTACAATTGAAGATAACGAACCAATATGTTAGTATTTAAAACAATTGTTACGACTAATGCTAAAATTGGTATATGTTGAAATCCACCTATTTTAAAAAATAATTTTTTTTTTAAGTTCGAGTTAGGGTTTTATTAATAAAAGAGTATAGAAACGCAAAATCTCTACATTAGCTGCGACAGTTATTTCTCACCTTTTGGTCTTTGAAGTATCTAATCTTGTTAAACATCAATTTAAATATTTTACAATTCAAGATATCTGGCCAATTTTCTATCAAAACAGCATTTGAATCTTTAATGCTTAAAAGTTGTTGAAGTTCAAGGAAAAATCTCACAATATAGAACAAATGATTTGAATGCTGATAGTCATTGTATTGCTCTGATTTCAGATCTTTTACAACAGAGTGTACAAGTGCTTAAGGAATAAAAAAATCGAATTATAATAAGTTTGAATGCAATTTTCAAAGTCAAAGTGAATTTAGAATGATAAGTATTATAATTACTGGTGAATATAGTGTTTAAAAATTTAATTGCAGTAACTTTTAAACAATCACGCGCAGCGTCACTAACATCAAGTATGAGCTTCTTCTTGGGTAGCCATTCTTCCTAAAACAATGTATCTAGATTAATATCTTTTAATAATTATAAAATATGATAAGATTTGAAATAAAACACATACTCGGATCGTACGTTTATTCTCTTTTTCTTCATGTTCATCAGGAAATTTATCGGCACGCGCGTCCTTTTTGGAAGTAAGAATTTCATAACCATCCTTAAATTTTAAGAATAGTTGTAACGAATTAAATTGCACATAAATATTATTAGGCATTTAAATTAAATAACTGATAATTAGAATAACATAAATCGAAATAGTATGCATACAGGCATCTTCACCCAATACTTCCCGCTAAACCGTTCACTAAAACGACGACGATCTTCCTTTTTTTTTTCTTCATCTTCTAAAAGTTTTTTAGAAAATTCATTTGCTTCCTATAAAATAAGTAATAACATATTAATGGTCACACGAAAAAGGTTCTATATTTAGTTGTAATAGAATAATGAATCTACAAACGGTTGTGGGATTCTCCAAAATGTCGGAAGGTTCGATACCATGAAAAATATGATAGAATATCTCTTGTATTATGATATTACATTGAAATAATTCGATATTTTTTGAATCGAGTGAACAAAAGCACTCAATAATTGTTTCTTTATAATATTGATGTACTAAATTATACTGTAATATATGTAAGCAAGTATTAAAAGTAAATCAAATTAACATAGTCTACACATTTTTATATTACAAACATGCAGTCTTTTATCCTTTTTGTCTATAGCCAACAAATTTCGGAATAATGATAGCACTAGGCAAACGACCATAACGTTATTTTCAGGGGGCTTGCTACCATGCATCAATGATCCAGAATTGGAAGAGAATGACCAAATTTAATTGCTATTTTTGATAATTTGATTATTGTGAAATATATAATTAAAAAACTGAAATGTCAAAAAGATACTTACCTAATCTCAATCATCAAATGATCATTGAGTAGATTTAATAGTGTTCTGAGTGCTGTGGGATTTTTTGTAAATAATTCCTTATAAGCATACTGAGCTTTTAAGATATCCCTTTGTAGACACGCATTATCATCTGCAAAGTCAACAGTCTGATCTAGGTCAATGGATGTTGTCATCAAGACAAATAGCTCAGCTATCAAAAACATAAGTAACTTGTAAGCAATTATTATAATTCACGTAAGAAAAAAAAAAAGAACATGTCACTCACTTATAATAACAATTATAGACTTCGTATCATTATCTTTGATATTATTATTTAGTAAAAAAATAGTCAACAAATGCTTTTCGAGCAATTGCAACTCCCAAAGATAAGTTAGAACATCATTATTAAGTTCTTTAATAAGTGTTAGAATGTTTTCGAGAGAAGCTAATAATATAACCAATTGATTAGACAAAATAGAGTGTAAACCAAATAACTGTTGAATACTGAAGCAGTTCATAGATCGCGACGCGCCTAGTCGCGTTCATTAATTAAAAATAGGTATTTACTTTTGCAATCATCACCAATTCGATAATATTGTATCGATTTATCAAGCAAGCCGTTTATTTGCTCATATTGACCCAAGTTTTTAACTAAAAATATCAGTTGTTCCTT